ATTTTTATATCCAAAGTGAATTGCAGGTATATATATATATATATATATATATATATATATATATCCTGTTACTTAGCATGATATATTTTAATTATTCTCTGTTTTTTTCCTACTAGATGCCACTAGATAGCTATACATATATTTCCTGTTCTGCTATCATTTAATGTATGTGACAGTCTCATGAGATAATCTGCAGGGTTTCTCATCTCTGGGCAGGACTTAGCACAGGATGATATCATTTTGGATCTACTTCTGAAGAAAATAATCCCCCAGGGTCCGACATAAGCTCTTAAAAAGATTTTCTTACGATTTCAAATGTATGTTTAATCCTTAACAGTGATAATAATCTATACTCTAAAATAGAAAAACGTGGTGCATTCTTATGGTTCAGTTCAGGTTAAAAAAAATAATTACTTAGGGCCTCCTTGTATAAATAACATGTTTCATGCTAAAAGGTAATATGTGTCCCAAGACTTAGTAAGTATATGTTGAGAGACTAAGGTAACACTAAGGCAATATTATAGAAAAAGGAAAATATGTATGGTTGTATTTAAAGAGTTTACAGAGTATGGTCATGTTTATTTTTATATAAAAATAAAACCTTTATCTCCTTATTTTGGCATTTGCTAATCACAGTCCAATAGTCCCTACTTATGTCTTCTAAAGCAAAGCTTGTCAGTCAAAATCTCCAAAAAAACTTGGCATGAAAAGCAGCAGAGGGTAGCCACCCAACACTCAAACACTGATGAAGTTAGAAATAGCAGTATAAGCAAACTAACACGTGACAAAGGCAATTATTAGAAAAACCAAAAGTAATACGTATCGGGAACACTGAAGAGAGGGGCTATGGATGTGACATCCTCTTTATCTATTATTTCAGGAAATCAATAAATATTGTCTAGAGTTGGCGAATCAAGTAATAGAGCTTCGTATGTTATGCAGGGTCACAGGTTGGCCCATTGGATACATTAGAAATAGAACTTATTAGAAGACTCAGCTGAAGAATAAGAGAATAGAGGAAATGACCATTGCTTTAAATGGTAATCTATTCATATTGTATTTTAGGTACAGCATGTATGCATATTTTACTTTAGTAAAAATACAAAATTTACCTTAAATAAAAATAATATATGCTTATAAACAACAAACCCTCTTGCGCTAATGCATATGCTTTACACACTAATTTTGACTCTTAAACTATTAAATAAATAAATCTAAAAGTCAGCCGGTCCTGTGTTTGGGATTTCTATGCAATCACTATGAAGGAAAACCAAAAGATATGTCTTATCCTTATTAAATAGAAAAAAAAAA